GCTACCATCCTCGACTAAAAACAAGTCTCTTGATCCTGATGACTTGAAGCCTTGTGCAGAACAACCTATAAGGCTAATTTTAGCCTCAAAGAAGGAAAGCTAAAGGAGCTGGCATACCACAGGTTGGCACAAAGTATAGCTCTACTAGTGTATGTAGCTGAGGTTTTTGGGGGAAAGGAGAGTGTGCGTGGGTGAGGGGCGGTGGCAGCTGATTCATCAGTATCTTCCCATCCAGTTCATCTTTGCAGTTGATGTACTCTACAGCATGCTGGTCAGGGGAGTCTGACAATTCTATCAGAGGAGGTTGCTCATGTGTAAATGGGCCATCTTGAAATAAGTCTCTTTATTTTGTAATTAACATTGCTTCCTAACAGCTAACTTACTGAAAATAATCTTCATATTGCAGAGTGGATTGTTTACACGTAAGCTCAGTGCTGCAGTTTATAAAGACAAATTCTACCTATTAGTGCTTTCCCAGTGGCTTAATTGAGGAAGGAAATGAGGAATTCCTGAGTTAATTTTAGTATGAGTAAGGAAATAAATCTCAGTGCTTCACCTTCCTGGCATTGCAATGATTTAAGGCCCTTCAATGGACACGGTGAACTTGAAATCTCCTCTTAAAATAAGTTCAAAGTAGTTTTGGGTACTGCCCTGGCACCTGAGTTCCCCTGGCCATTTTTGTGGGGCTTACAATCATATTTTCCTATTTTTTAAAAGCTTTCTTCTCCCTCACACAGTTGGGGAAACTTACGAAAAAAGATTCCAATCCTGAAACTTCTTTTGAGTGAGTTGACTGCTGCAGCCCTGCAGATTTCCACTGAAGCTCAGCATAGGCATAGCAGCCTACCCATTTCCAAGGAGTTGTAGGAATGAAGCCAAATTACTTATACATGGCGAATAAGAAACTGACTATATACAAAACTGAATATTTTTGCTCCTTTTCCCATTAAAGTCGTCTTAAGTATTACCTGTTATAATAGCAGATAAAAGACTTAGTTAGAAGTGTGACTTTTATAAGTTAAGATAATGTTCCATTAATGAACATCAATAAGTAGGTATAAAAACTAGACTCCAGTCATCGTTATAATATCTCGCTGTAAGATTGTAGAATTTGGTTTTTCTTCCAACGAGACCAAACAAACCTGCAGTACTCTGAAAATATAGAAAAATAAAATGTAAAGAAGGTTCATTTTTTATTTGTAGGTGGGCTTGGATTTTACAAGATATCTTGGGAGTTGCTTTCTGCCTAAACTTTATTAAAACACTGAAAATGCCCAACTTTAAGGTACAGTAAACAGTTTACCTAAATAAAGCATGTTGATATGCACATAGAAATACTAGTAACTGGAGGTAAATTAAAGAATGAAAAAGAATGTTTCCTTTTTTCCCAAACCATTAAAGTTAGCAAAAGGACTCAATAGAATGTTGTTCTTATAAATCATAAACTAAAACTACCAATAGAAAATGTTTTCATAAATTTTATGAGAGAATGTTAAAGATAACCCATAGGCATTTAGTAAATATTGATGTATTAATGATATTTATCATGCAGTCTTTGAAAACTTGTGTTTAATGTTTCCTTCTCTGTTTGCCAGTCATGTGTGATACTTCTAGGTCTTCTTCTTTTGTACGATGTATTTTTCGTCTTCATAACTCCATTTATCACCAAGGTAGGTCCATAGTTTTGATAAAGATTTGTGGTATGAATGCCTGCTGATGCATTTTATATTTTGTGCATTGAATTTTATGCATTTAAATATTGTCCAGACATGGCTACCATTCTAGACGCTCAAAGTCTGTTACTCCCAAGAGTTTGTCTATTAAGTGATTTCTCCTAAGTTTCTCAGTCTACCAACATCTTAATGAAAGGTTGCACAGGAATGTTTGTCTCATTAATTTAAACTTAGAAACAAAGGGGAAAGGATGGAAACAATGTAGCGAAAATAAGGTGGATCCAAGCTAAATGCAGCCTAGGAAGTGGGGATGAATAGCGGTAGATACATCCAAAGGGATTATAGTAGAAATAGGGAGGTAAGGAGCAATGATATAATGGGGGGGAACTAGTCTCAAGATGGTCATTAATCCTTCAAAAATGGGATCACAAAGTAAATTATTGTATATCTGTTTTGTGCTACAGCCCCCAAAAGCCTGCTCTGTTTTTACTTGCTATAGTTGACATTCTAATAAATGCTGTCAGTCATACAGCAGCCTGCTGTTTTTCAAATTCTCAATTTTATTACTGCACCCTGTCTAAATTCTGACTTTCATTACTGTACCCCATCTTTTGCTTTCAGACCCTTCTGTATCAGTTGAGGTTTTGGTGCTTTGTAGAATGCTGATTCTTTAACGTGCT